GTTGATGGGACATTAGTTCCCAAGAGCTTTTATAGCACTTCCCACAGTCTGGGCACTGAAAAGGTCTCTCTCCATTGTGAACTCGCTGGTGTGTCAGCAGGTGGGCTAGCTGAGTGAATTTCTTCCCACACTCGGAGCAGGTGAACGGCCGCTCCCCGGTGTGAACCCGCTGGTGTGTCACCAGGTGTGAGGAGCGAGTGAATCCTTTCCCACATTCAGAGCAGGTGAAAGGCCTCTCCCCAGTGTGAACCCGCTGGTGAGTCAGCAGATCAGCTGATTGAGCAAATCCCTTCCCACACTCAGAGCAGGTGAAAGGCCTCTCTCCCGTGTGAATTCGCTGGTGTGCAGTGAGTTGAGATGAGTGCTTGAAGCCAGTCCCACAATGCAAGCATCTGAACGGTCTCTCGTCAGTGTGAACCCGTTGATGGGACATCAGTTCCCCAGAACTTTTGTAGCACTTCCCGCAGTCTGTGCATTTAAAAGGTCTCTCCCCAGTGTGAAGTCGCTCATGTACGATGAGTTGAGATGAGTGCTTGAACCCAGTCCCGCAGTAAGAGCATCTGAATGGTCTTTTATCAGTGTGAACGCGCTGATGGGTCATCAGTTCCACAGAACTTTGACAGCACGTCCCACAGTCTAGACATTTGAAAGGTCTCTCAAAAGTGTGAACAGGTTGGTTTTGCAGGGTAGCTGAATCAATGAATGGCTGCCCATCCTCAGAGCAGGTGAAAGGTTTTCGTCCGCTACGAATTTGGCAGTGAATCATGAAGTTGGAATGCAGAGTGAATTTCTCTCCGCACTCAGAGCAGATGAATGGTCTCTCCCCAGTGTGAGTGCGCTGGTGTCTCATCAAGTGGGAGGACCGAATGAATCCTTTCCCGCATTCAGAGCAGGTGAATGGCCTCTCCCCAATGTGACTGCGCTGGTGAGTTTCCAGCTCAGAAGGGTAACTGAATCCCTTCCCACAGTGCCCACATTTCCATGGTTTCTCCCCAGTATGACTGTGCTTGTGTTTTGACAGGCCAGATGATCGGCTGAAACCCTGTCCACATCGAGAACACGTGTGTGGTTTCTCTGCACTGTGGATGGTGTCATTTCTTTCCATGTTCATAACCTGATGATTTTCAAGTGCAGCAAATTGGATAAGTCCATCAAATGCTGATGTGGTGTTTGGTTTCAGTCACCTTCTAATAACCTGTGAAATTGATTTTGAACAGGAAAAGGAAGTGAGAGAAAACCCCAAAAAAAACACAAAATGTAGGTTGTGAAATTGAGCTGTATGAATCTGGAAATTTGTGCAGCTAATGCAAGTTAAAAGTGACCATGGATTGTCACAAAAACCCAATTGGCTCATGCAACCTGGGCTGGCCTCTGTGAAAGGGGAAAGAGATAGTAGAGGTAGATGTGAGTAAAGGGCTACAACTGACTTGTCTGATATTCAGTACAGGGTGAGAAGAAACCTCCCCGATTTATATATTAGGGAGTCTGAAGACATTATCTTCAGTGCCTGCTATAAAATTCATTCCTTTACCACTAACTCCAATCCACTCCCTGCCAACTGTCTTATACCGAACCAAACAGCCTACAGCAATGGTATCATATTTCGCTCACGCAGTTCCTTGGTTAAATATCTTTGCCACCTCCAAGGCCTCAAGTTTTCATCTTAGTAACACTGCTCAACTTGCCCACTGATCCTCGAAGCTGATCTTCTGAAACTCTTGTCCATTCATTTGTTACTTCTATATTGCACTACTCAAATAAAGTCCTGGTCAGTCTCCTACATTCAAGCCCTCAGAAGTCAATGATTACCTAAAATCTCTGGAATCTATGCGCTCCGCTCCAAGTCCCATCGGCATACCCATCACCACTTTCCTCAATGACCTGCATCTGTCTGTTGAGAATTTAAATTCTCAAATTCTGTTTTAAAATCCCTTCATGACCTGCCCCTCTTTCCATGTCCAGTGAACCTTTCACCACAAAATAAAATGACAAACATACGCGTCCTGATGTCTCCAGTGAATGTCAGATCTTGATGCGATGCTTGGTTTGAGTCTCATGTCTTCAAATCCTGTTAAATAAAATGCACTGTAATCAGACCAAGATTCAAAATTGAGAAGAGATAAATATTTCTCTTGGTTTCTCCGGTGTAAACCTTCCACAGCTGACGGCGTGTCACGAAGTCTGCGCATGCGCCCGAATGCAAAGCTGCCCCCTACTAACATGGCGTCCGTGCATACATCCCGAGGAAAATTGCCCCCAATAAAGATGGCGGTGCTAACCCGGGTGTGTCTCAGAATGAGACCCGCGACCATTCCCCGTTTTGTTGCAAATGAACGGCAGAACGGTTTTAATTCGGATCTAGCGGCCTACACCGGGTGTATGTGAAACTTTCCAGACCACACTGATTACATTTCTCTCTCGCTCTCCGCTGTCTTCCCTCTTTTACTTTCTCCCTCTCCCGCTCAGACTCCTCGTAAAATGACATCGCGCCTGCGCATGAGTACACACCATATTGGTCACAAGAGACGTCCCGTATCCAATACCCCTCATTCACACTGATTGGTTGGAGGACCACCTGTTCACATTCGGTCCTCCAGACCTGCTCCAATCTCCCTATTGGTCCGGATCCGTCGTCAATCAGCCAAACATCATTGTCCGCTAAAGATGCATGATATTGGTTTGGAATATTGTCTCAACTGGACCAAGTTGTTGAATTATCCAGGACTTAATTGGGATCTCAGGCCAGGGAGGAGAGTGCGTGCGTGGGATGGCGATTTCCAGATTTGAGGAGAAGTTCTCTGCTTTACTGACTATGGAGAGTTTTATCAACTCCAGCTACAACTCAAACCAAACTTCAGGTCAAGATCTGACACAGTCTCTCCATTCATCAGGACCCAAAGTAACATCAGCTTCCAAATGTGGAAGAAGATAGACAGTGACATGAAGAATTTGGTCAGTTGGTTGTGTCGTGAGAATTGCATCAAGTGAGCAGTAGGTGGGTTTCATGGATAAGATGAACTTTGAAGTGACACAAGGCATAAAAGGAGAGAAAATGAAAGAAAATATACATTCAGCATTTGGGAATGGAAGCAGATTTCAGGTGAGGATGAATTGGTAAGGGGAGCCCTTCAGAAGTGTGTTAGAGACATTAAAAAAAGACAAGATATTGTGTCTTACACAAAGCTGATTTATTTGATTTCTATCCAGAATATTAGGCTATTTAACTTAGCTAGATTTCATTAAAATCAGTAGAAACAGATCCCATTGAACATTGTTCACTCCTGGGTGTGATTAACAGAAGAATCCTATCAATTATCGCTGGACTGTTAATCCAGAGATCTAGATAACATTCTGGGGACTCAGGTTCAAATCCCGCCATGGCAGATGGTGGAATTTGAATTCAATCAAATATCTGGAATAAAGAATCTAATGATGACCACGAACCCATTGTCGATGGTCAGAAAAACCCATCTGGTTCACTAACGTCCTTTAGGGAAGGAAACTGCCATCCTTACCTGTCTGGCCTACATGTGATTCTGGACCCACAGCAATGTGGTTGACTCTAAACTGCCCTCTGGACAATTAGGGATGGGCAACAAATGCTGCCTGGCCAGCGATGCCCTCATCCCGTGAATGAATAAAGAAAAAAAATAGAAGTATTTGCGATCTCCCTGGTGCCTCAGCAGATGTGATGATCAATTGAAACCCTTCCCACACTCAGAGCATGTCTACAGTCTCTCTCCACTGTGAACCACTTATGTGTCAGCAACTGGGACGACTGAGTGAATCCTTTCCCACACTCAAAAGCATACGACTGGTCTCTCCTCCTTGTACTCGCTGGTGTACAGTGAGTTTGGATGACCGCCTAAACCCAGTCCCGAAATCAGAGCATCTAAAATGGTCTCTCATCGGTGTGAATACATTGATGGGTCATTAGTTCCCCAGTACTTGTAAAGCACATTCTTCAGTTAGGACATTTAAAAGGTCACTCTTCAGTGACAGACTAAGTAGATTGCACTTGTCTCCATTCCTGAACTGACTGGACATCTGTACCAGGCTGAAAGGTAATATTTGGAGACTCTTGATTCTCACCCAATTCCTACGTCCCTTTTTTCTGGTGGATGATGGAGGGGCCAGTGTGTGAAACACTAAGAATTGTCAACAAATATTCATCTGCACTTTCTCACTGAAGGTTTTAATCAACGGCACCTTGCAGACATTAAATTGTCGAGATTTGGAATGGAATATTATTCTAATCTATATGTTGACGAGATTTCTTGAACTAAGGGGATAGAAGACAGACAGCAGTTCTCAAAAAGGAAACTGCAGCCCGAGGAAAACAGCTATAGATCCAGAATATTAAACACCAGCCTGTGATAGGGACCATTAACATCATCAGCAGACACAAACTGCAAATATCAGAAATAATATGGGTCAGTCCGGGATGCGACTAACAGCTGTAGTGACAGGAGAATCCAACCCGTGGTCACTTGTGAACTTGCTGGTGGATCGCCAGGTTTGCTGACTGTGTGAATCCTTTTCCACACATAGAGCAGGTGAATGGCTGCTCCCCGGTGTGAACTCGCTGGTGTGAAATGAGGCTACCGGAATGCCTGAAACTCCTTCCACAGCGAGGGCAGACGAAGGGTCTGTCATCAGTGTGAACCCGCTGGTGTGTCAGCAAGTGAGATAACTGAGTGAATCCCTTCCCACATTTGGAGCAGAGAAATGGCCTCTCCCCAGTATGGATTCGCTGGTGTTCATTGACACTGCCTGAATGCCTGAAACTCTTTCCACAATAGGTACAGATGAATGGTCTCTCATCAGTGTGAACCCGCTGGTGTGTCAGCAGGTGGCACGACTGAGTGAATGTCTTCCCACACACTGAGCAGGAGAAAGGCCTCTCCCCAGTGTGAACTCGCTGGTGAGTTAGCAGGTGCGATGACCGGGTGAATCCTTTCCCACACTCGGAACAGGTGAATGGTTTCTCCCCAGTGTGAATTCGCTGGTGGATAATGAGTTGAGATGAACGCTTGAACCCAGTCCCACAGTCAGAGCATCTGAATGGCCTCTCGTCAGTGTGAACACGTCGATGGGATGTCAGTCCATCAGCCCTGTTGAAACACTTCCCACAGTCGGGACACTTAAAAGGTCTCTCCCCAGTGTGAATTCGTTGGTGGACAGTGAGTTGAGACGAGTGCTTGAAGCCAGTTCTACAGTGAGAGCATCTGAAGGGTCTCTCGTCAGTGTGAACGCGTTGATGGGACATCAGTTCTGCAGAACTTTTGTAGCACTTCCCACAGTCTGGACATTTAAACGGTCTCTTGTCGGTGTGAACTCGCTGGTGTACAGTGAGTTGAGATGATCGCTTGAACCCTATTCCACACTGAGAGCACCTGAACGGTTTCTCATCAGAGTGAATACGTTGATGGGACATTAGTTCCCAAGAGCTTTTATAGCACTTCCCACAG